AGTAACCTGCAATTCGGGTCATAACAAGCAGCTCAGAAAATAAGGCACTAAGAACCATAAAAGGTCCTAAATGACAACAGCCAAGGCATCGTTACAGCAGCTATTTGCTGTCTTGTTACAGGAGAGGATAAAGAACTTATTCTGAGTCTGATTTATGAGGAAATTTGTGAAACCTTGCAGGCATTTCTGGAAAGCGTTTGTTGAAATACAGACACCTAAGTTAAACATTCAATGCAAAAAAGGTATACTACTATCTTAGTATATGCAATAGAAGTAAGGTGCGTGCAAAAATATTCTCACAATTTCTGTTTTACATTAAGTCAAACACATTCGCTACCTGTTCAACTCCAGACAAAACTCAAAATGCACCTGCGACACGTTGGGACTGGATCTATCACTCAATTCATTATTCATTTAAGAGAGGTGAGAAGACCTTGCCTCACATAACATAGCCATCAGCCCTGTGTCATATGTTAGGTTGGGGTGAGAACAGGAGAAAATAAACTAAAATGTTACGTATGCTAAGTAATGTTAATATAAAAATAAGTATGTACGAATGAGTCTCTAAAACGTATAGGTCAGAAGTTTGAAAACTTTGAAGATGTCGTGAAAAATTCAAGAAAGCAGCGCACAACATGGTTGCTTGAGATAGCAAGGCACTTCTAACTAGCTCCTTAATTTAACAGATTAAGAGAATAAGGCCACCTGACAGATTCATTCTGCAAACAAACGTAGTGTATGAAAACAATCACTAAGGTTAGAACAGGAAGTTTGCTACCAGACATCCCCATTCCTACAATCTGCCATTAGAAAATATCACAGGCATTCCTTAGACACCTCAGTTAAAGTTAGCAATCTATACTCTTTAGCCACCATCAACAGATGTCTCAGCACACCCAAATTATTTTGCCTAACAGATTTATAGAGCAGAAGTTTACAACTTCTTCAAAAGGCTCAGAGGGGTGAAAACTACGTGGTAAAGAACATTATCATTTGGATTTGGAAAACGACATCTGTTCACAGTGTGATGGATAGCAGGACGTTAAAAACAGTCACCTTACTTTAAGAGGGAGTTGAAACACGAACATATAATTTAGATGCAGCTAAATACATTTACACTTAGAAAGTAAGATTGCGTAACTACTTAAAAACTAGGTGTTTTTTTTACAGGGTATTACATAAAGCTGAAAAAGCAGACATTCCCCTGGCAGTCTATTTGTGATCTGAACACTAGTTGATTGCTGTGGCTTACATGCAGAAAGTGTAAAACGTATCAACAAAAAAAAAGAATTGTGTATCAGCATTGATACTGTTGTAATTTGTAGTTTAATCAAACTATCTTCCAGGACAAAACTCTAGTACACAGTATATTCTAGAGTTACCTTATGATGAGGGTCAACATTAAGCAGCAGAGGTGGGATCATACTAACAGCCTCCTGACGACTGATGTTTCCCTTGAAAGGAAAAAACAAAACCAAAACAAACTCCTTTTTATTCCATTACAAAAGAAGGCATTTCTTTTGTAGTACATTTTTTAAATCTCCATGTAATAAAACGATAAAGCAATTGAAAACACACTATTGTAAACTTAGGATTAAATTTTGTTAGCATTTAACAAACAAAATCACAGTATTTCGCCCAACTGAAATTTCCGATAATCACATATTTACTCCAATTTTATTCATTCTACAGATGTAGTTTCTGCTCAAGAGATGAGAAACTGTCTTCAACCAAGTAAGAAACATCCATCGCTACAGGTAAGTCTTGGTATGTACACACATGCACTTTTTACCAGACTCAAACACCTGTTTTCTAACAGCAACTGATTATTTTATTTTACAGGGACTCATTTTCACATTCTCAAAGGAAAAAAAAAATTGCAATTAGTTTAGGAGAAATATTTGTAACTGCAGTTATGTGCTAGAGTCATGGAATGAATCACTGTCAACAGCAACATAAAATTCAGATTCTTCTGAGCGAAAAGGTACAGTCTCAGTTTCTCATAATGCATTTAAATAAAATGCTGCTCAGGACATGAAAGAAAAAAAAAATCAAGCTCTATCCAAAACTTACACATTCTGTCTCGCTAACCAGGAACTGATGAAACCTTTCCAGTTGTGGCGACTTGCGTAAGATTTTTCTACTCAAGTTAGTGTGCCAGGCTAACTCTTCTGGATACCTGGAGGGAAAGGGATGGAGAAAGGGCAGCAGCAAAAGAAAGAGACAAACCAATTTGTCAGGCCGGATCTGGAGAACACGCAGGTGCCTCGCTTTGCTTCCAGCTCACTCACCAGCTCAGCGACTGCGGCATTTCGACTTTTTGGCCGTCTACCTCGAGGTTCTGCAGCTCTTTGAAGTACTTTTCCTTCAAGCAGTGGAGAATCTCCTTGGCGTGACTGCAGGGGAGGGAGATACCCGCAGGATCGAGACGGCCGGATCGAGACCCCCCTCCCCCAGGCGCAGGCCGCCCCCACGGTGCCGGCCCGATCCTCAGGCAGGCCCCTACCCGCGCCCGCGGCCCCTACCTCCCGGAGCCC